TACTAACCATGATATCCAGTTTTGAAAACGTTATGTGTTCTTATTCCATCTATTAGCTTAGAATTACTATGTTATGCGCGCAGCAAACAAGTATAGACCAAATCGCCTAAATTGGAACAAAACATTGCATGTTCGTTTTGAAGATGGTTTGCTACTCGCAAGTAGGCTAAAATGCAGGTTTTGTCACCCTCAAGTGGGCTTTTAAAAAAGATGGTTTTGCCACTATCGAGTGGGCTTAAAACTCACTTTTTTAATGCATTATCCCAATTTAAGCAATTCGACCTTCATCCACAGGCATTCAAGCAGTTATATCACATAAGCAGCTAGCCTCATGGTAATCATGCAATTATGGCAACACTCACACGCATGCGGTATGCTAAAGCAAAAGGACTTATAGACTACTCCAAGCCGAAACAGGGAACTCGTTAGCAAATCAATGTATGATCCAAGTCCATGTTAAGTGCCTAATGCAACGCATGCAAAATGTCACTAGAATAGGCTCGGCTAATCTAGAAGTGGCATGTGAAATGCACCAACATCATGTATTCAAGTTAGATTTGAAATACTAATGCAGTTAGCATGATGCGCCGAGCCCGGTGCATGCAATACTGATGAATGATGCACACATGCATAGCATAAGGTATGCTAAATTAAACATGACCTATTACTAACCATCAAAGCAGGTAAGTAAAAGGGAGAAAGAAGTGGGGGTTGGAAGACATGCACACACTCACCCACACTTATTACAAATTCGCCCTCGCTCGGAGGGACCGAAAGAATAGTATAAATTAACTAACTCGCAAGCTAATTAATTATTACAAATCACCTAACTAATTAACAAATTAACTAAGCTAAGAAAAGCAATAAAAAAAAAGGGCCTCGGGAAGAGGGTCCAATGCACGCATGCTCGGATCTTGCTCGGAAGTCCAGTGCCATGCACAAGCCGCCTCTGTTTTCCCTGCTCTGCTTCTCTGAAGACTGCCAAAGTCTCAAGATGTGCTCACTGGATGTTGGGGAGTGCCACCGGCTAGAGAGAATCATCATCGGCTGTGATTTGGTGTCGATCGGCCAAAAATGAATCCATGGGCCACCTATGGATTGCCGGTTAGCACTCTATGTAGTCGATCGGCAAAAAGTTCCTGCAGAATCCGTTTGACAGCAGCAGAGGACAGAGCTTTGCATGGCAATGCAATTCAAGCAATGTATGCACCAACCATATCCCTTATCATGTTTATGACTCAAAGGGACATGGTCCTTGGTTCTCGGACCATCAATTGCGTATTTCAATGCGTGATGGTCCAAGCGACCAAGTTATGCGTGTTGATTTCAAATGCAATGCAAACCACCAAACAAAGGCCCAACTCCCATCACTAAATCAAAGAACAAGGCATGCATGCTAGATGGAGTGCAACCTAGGCATGTGAACTAGCATGTAACATGGGCATACAATGCATTTATGCAAGTATGCAAGCAAACATGCAAGGTAAGCATGCAAACAAGCAAAGGATGGACTTAAGCTCGTTTGGGCAGCCCTTAAGGAAGCCCAAAACAGTGGCCATCAACCAAGGAAATGAGGCCAAATGCACATGCAAGCATACATGACAACATGGACCAACATTTAAGCACATAAAGGCAACTTTTAAGCGCACTTTAAAAGAGGCATAGCGTGGACAATTAACATGCAAATGAAGCTCTGAAAATCATGCTATAGGAGGTGCCAAACCAACTAAACAAAGCAAGCATATCATGCAACTAAGCCCAACGCCTAAGGCTCACCAAAGAGGCATTGGACTACACTTATCAAGACCAGACATGGCATGATTTAAGCAACTAAAATCAGGGTTTTAGCATGTCAAAATGAACCCCGAAAACCACTTAGATGACATCTAAATGACTTACACACGGAAGCATGCACAAATGCACTTTCAAGGAGCATGAAACACAAACTCTTGAAACATCAAAGAGCCATGAAATGCAAGTATACAAGCATGCTAAGTGGACTGAAATGACATGGAAAATAGTCCCAACTCACTAAATCAAAGCAAGTAATGCATGCTATACACTCACATACTTGAAGCCTACAAGCTAAAATGCAAAGGGACTATGCAATGCATGTTAAAGTCGACCCAAACAACTAAGGACATACCTTAAACATGGCAAAATAAACATGAAAGCTTCACAAAGCCAAGCCTAAAGCATGCTAGAACAATGGTTTACAACCTAAGGCATGTTAAGGCAACAAAATGGCATTACAAGGCATGTATGCTAAGCAAGCATGGTGTACCAAAACCAACTTAAAACAATGCTATATCATGGCATAATAAGCATAAAAAACAGCCGAGGCATGGTCAACATGAGCCTAAGCTAGGTGCTCCCTCAAGAGGCAAAAATGATCCTTTTCAAGGACAATAAGGAGAGGGGGTGGCCCTCTCCTTCTTAGGACCTCAAGGCACCATCCTCACCTCTGAAATCCCTCAAGATTTCATTGGTGAGGAGGCCCAAACACTATGGTCCCGGAGCTCACACAAAATGGCACAAAATGGAGCCTTACAAGGCTTAAGAGGGGTCAAACAACCCCAAAGCTTGAAGCAACCTTAACAAACTATTTAGAGGCCTTAAAAATAGAACTTTTATGCAAAGCCAAAAAACAGTTGCAAGATAGGTAAAAGTAGTGTGCAAAAATTGGGGGATAAAAGGGAAAAGTGATTACCCTTGTAGACCTTCTTCAACAATGGAGCTCCAGCAGCTTGTTGAGGTTGAAATCAACTTCAAAACTCTAAAAACAACCCTCAAGGGCCTCAGCTCCAAGGAAAGGTGTGGTAGTGTGTGTTTGTGTACAAAACTAAGGCTTAAACACACACAATACAAGAGAAGGAGAGATATAGATATAGGATAGATATAAAACCCTAAACCTAGAACCAGAGCTCCTCTAACAATTTTTTCTAACCCTAATGCCAAGAGAGGAGACCTCTTCTTATAGGCAACTCCCTCTTGTAAAGCTTCCAAAACAAGCCATCCAAGAGGAAAATCTCTCCATACACGTTTATGGAGGGGAACAGAGTGGGTGCCAGCTATCACAGCTGGCACAAAATATCTACTAAAAGTAGATGAACAGTGATCGGCCATCCAAAATTGCCACTTTGACAAAATAAATGGCCGATCGGCAACAAAGAATGCCGACCGGCAATATATATTGCCGATGGCATAAAATCACTGGCCGGTGGCCTCGAGCCATGGCCGGTGATGTGTGGGGATGCCTCACAAGGCATTCCCTACCCCTTCAAGGCAAAACACAAGTGTTTGGTGCAAAACCAAACACAAAACAGTCGAGTCGAGAGATCCTGAGGCAAGGCGCGCAACCGAGACCTCCGGGAACTCAAGACGAACACAAACATGGATGATCACCGAGTGTTCAAGCGGTGATGTCCAAGTCTTGAGGACGGTCAAAAATGGGGTGTCTACAGACCCCATTGGGCAAAAGGCCATAGGCTGGTGAGTGGGGTGAGAGTTTTGGTTGGCTGATGAATGAATGGAGCAAACCTCTGACATTTATCACACTTCTGTACGTACTGCTAAGCATCTTGTTGCATCCGTGGCCACCAATACCCGTGAGTGAGGGCTTGGTGCGCCAGCGACCTTCCGCCAACGTGGCATCCACAAATCCCATCGTGAATTTCGTAGAGAACATTCTCGACCAGATTTGGATGCACACATAGAAGATAGGGGCCAAGATAGGAGCGTCTGTACAGCTTCCCGGATGGTGAGATCCAAAATCGAGCTGACTTGTGTTTGACTTTGTTGGCTTTCTTTTTTTCTTCGGGGAGAGTACCAGATTTTAGAAAAGCAAGTATTGGATCTATCTAGCTTGGCTCTACGTTGCTGCAGAGGACTGGAGATGCAATGCTTGGCTCTAGCACGAACTCAACCCAAACTTTTCTGGCATCTTTGGTATCCACTGATGAACCGGGACAAGCCAGAGCATCAGCATGGCTGTTTTTTTCTCGACTAATTTGTTCCACTGGTATGGATTGAAACTTTTTGAGTAAGTCTTTGGCCTTGCCTACGTACATGGCCATTCTTTCATCCCTTGTTTCGTAGATCCCAAAAAGCTGGTTTACCACTAGTTGTGAATCGCTGAAAACAAGAAGTTGTTCTGCACTAAAGTGTTCGGCACTGCGTAAGCCAGCCAACAACGCTTCGTACTCTACCTCGTTGTTCGAAGCCTTCTAACCGAGCCTGAGAGCCTGTTCCCAGATAAATCCTTCTGGTGAGATAAGTACTACTCCTGTCCCTGAGCCTCGGTTATTGGACGACCCGTCAACATAGAGCTGCCAGATGTTTCCAATGAAGAGTTTCTAGGCTTCCGAAGCGCAGGGCTTTCCTTGTTTGGTGATGCGTGGCACCTGTGCCAAACTTGGATTCCTTGGTTCGGTACTCTGGGTGGGAGCAAATTCTACAATGAAATCTGCAAAGACCTGGGCCTTAATTGCTGTCCTGGGTTGATACCGAATGTCAAACTCACCAAGTTCTACCGTCCATTTTGCTGTTCTGCCAGAGAAATCGGCTCGGCTAAATACAGATCTGAGGTGGAATTCAGTGAGGACATTGATAGTATGCCCCTGGAAGTAATGTTGTAACTTTCTCGAGGCGATAAGCAGTGCGTAAGCTAACTTTTCCAATGGTAGATATCGTGTCTCGGCATCTAGTAAAGTCTTGCTAACGTAGTATATAGGCCTCTGTTCCTTGTTAACCTCTCGAATTAATACTGCGCTTACGGCATGATTTGAGATTGCTAGATAGAGGTACAGCTCCTCTCCTAGCTCTGGAATGAACAGAAGGGGAGGTGTATTGAGGTATCTTTTCAGATTTTGCAGTGCTTCGGTGCACTTGCAACTCCATTCAAATGCTGCCCTTTTCCTCAAAAGCTGAGAGAAAGGCGTCATCCAATCTGAAGATTTGCTGATGAACCGATTCAGTGCGGCCGCCATTCCGGCCAGTTTCTACAGCTCCTTAGCCTTTGTTGGTACTTCAAGATCTTGTATTGCTTTTATTTGGTCCGAATTCGCCTCAATTCCTCTGTGAGTGACCATATACCCCAAGAACTTCCCTGTTCCTACCCCAAAAGTGCATTTTGAGGCATTGAGGCGAAGCTGATGGTTTTTTAAGATGTCGAAAACTTCTCTCAAGTCTGTAAGATGGTCTGTAGCGAACTTGCTCTTGACTACCATATCATCTATATAAGCTTCCATGGTTTTTCCCAGTTGGTCTTTGAACATCCGAGTGACCATCCGCTGGTAGGTTGCTCCGGCGTTCTTGAGGCCGAACGACATCACTTTATAGCAGTAAGTTCCTCTCGGAGTGATAAATGTTGTCTTTTCTTGATCCGGACCGAACAGTGATATCTGATGATAACCGCTATAAGCGTCCAGAAAGCTCATGCGCTCATGCCCTGCTGTTGAGTCTACTAGTTGATCAATGCAAGGCAGAGGAAAGCTATCTTTAGGGCAGGCTTTGTTCAAGCAAGTGAAGCCAACGCAAACTCTCCATTTTCCGTTCTTCTTCTTGACTACAACTGTGTTGGACAGCCATTGCAGGTACTGAACTTCTCTGATTGCTCCTGAAGCCAAGAGTTTTTCGACTTCGGCAATTACTGCTTCGGTGTGATCAACTGAGGATCTCCGGCTTTTCTGCACAATGGGCCGAGCTGAAGCAAATTCTGGGTCCAACCCTGGGGTATCATATGCTGACCATGCGAATACCTCCATATTTTCCCTCAGCAGTTTCAGCAGCTGAAGTTTCTCATCAGCGCCTAGCAAGGTACCGATAAGGAAGTACTTTTCTGGGTCATCCTCTTTTACCAGGACTCTCTCCAATTCCTCTACTATTTTTTCCTCTGGAGCTCCCCCTACATCTTCCAAGACTGGCTGTTCGGCCACTTCTACTGTCTGTACCCGATTGTAGAGCTGTTTTTCTTTTAATGCTGCTATGAAGCAATGTTTGGATGCAACTTGATCCCCTGAGATCTGCTCTACTCCATGTTCTGTTGGGAAACAGATGAGCTGGTGGAAGGTTGAAAGGATTGCCTCCATTTGATGAATCCACGGACGACCAAGTATGGCATTGTAAGGGGATGGTGTATTAATAACCAAGAACTCTATCTGGAGGGTTTTTGTTCCCGCCACGACTGGCAACACTATTCTGCCAAGCGGCCATTCTGGCTGTGAATTGAAACCGACCAATGGGGCTGCCGCTGGGGTGAGGTGCGGCTCGGAGAGGCCAAACTTTCTGAACAAATCATAATACAATACATCTGCTGCACTACCTTGATCTACCAGGACTCGTTTTACATCAAATCGTTTCCCAATTCCCACATTTATAATCAGTGCATCAGTATGTGGGTGTTGTATGTCCTCTAAATCCTTTCTAGTAAATGAAACAGTGCATAAGGGGGATTTGGATACCGCGCGTACCTTTTTCGATGCGGGCTCCACTGACATGACTTGTTGGATTTGCACAGCCTTAGCAATCTCTTCTCTCAGTGTCTCCTCAAGTTCCTGAGTCGCCGTCCCGTGTATCACATTTATTATCAGCCGAGGTGGATGCTCAATATTTGGTTCTGGTAGTGGGTTCCCTGGTTCGGTCACTTCCTTATCCTGATCAATGTAATCCCGAAGGTGCCCAGCTGCTACTAGGTCTTCCAAGTGTTGTTGCAGTGCTCTATAGTTCTGAGTCATGTGCCCCCTGTCTTAATGGTAAGTGCATCTGAGCTTTTGATTGCACCGAGCCGGATCTCCCAACATTTTCGGCGGCCAAACAAAGAAGGGCTCTCTCTTGATTTTTTCCAAGATTCGATAAATTGGCTCTTTGAACACAGTTACGACGGCTTCGTGGGATTTGGACTTATCCACTTCATTCACTGCGATCCCTCTGTGTTCTCCTCAATCTGTTCTCTTCTTGTGCCGAGCTGTTTGTTCTGCTGATGTTACCTCAATGGGGATCTGATCGTCTTCGAGGCGAGCGTATTGCTCAATCCTGGCATGCAAGTCTTTTAATGCTGTGGCTGGGTGCTTGGTAAGTGATTGTCTCAACTTACTTTCCGAGTGCAGGCCATGCTTGAAAGACAAGACGACCATCTGTTCACTACATACATTTTCCTCCAGATCGTTGTATTCTTCCCAGTACCTCCTAGCATAATTACGCAGCGTTTCCTCCTGCCCTTTCGAAGGCCGAACAGTGTATCCGGCTCTTTCAGAGAGTTGCTTCTAGCCGCAAATCGATCCAGCGGGGAGTCAATCAAACCATCGAAGTCCGGTCTCTCCCAAGCTAGATGGGAAGACTTTGCACATCAGTGCCTCATCTTGGCTCCATAGAGACATCATTTGTCTGCAATGGCTAATATGCATCAGCGAGTCCGACTTTCCATCGTATGAAGTGAACTTTGGTGAGGTGAATTTCTTTGGAGGCCTCATGGCTTCAATTTCCGGGGAGAATGGTGAGGAGACGGGCCTATCCAACGCTCGGTGTTCTCTCTGGTGAATAGTACGGTCTAAGTGATCCCGACGTTGCTCGTTCTGCTTGTTGCCGATCAACCAAGTACGAAGGTCTTGTGGGGGGTACTCAGTTTGCTGACTGATTGTCTTCTGCCTTTTAGCCCTTCTCTAGTGTGACCCACCGGTGTGGCTGCTTGCCGCTTCACTCTGTATCGGGATAGGCTGGCTTCGTTGCCTAGACTCATTTCTGGGGAATGTTTTCATTGGTGGCTCTCTGGATGAGCTCCTTTGTTGCAGACGAGAGGGTTCTGCTTCCGCTCTTTTTTCCGTCGGATCACCCAGCACCCTTTTAAGTTGGGCTTTCAGCTCCTGTATCTCCATTCCCATGGAGTCTATGATTCGATCTCTATAATCCTTTTCTAGAAGGGAGTGATGAGAAGAACCTTCAGCGAAGGGTAATCGATGCTAAATGGATTCAAGAGTTCGGTTGTTGTTTCCAGTTCGTTCTTCCAGAATTGTTGGGAGTGCCAAACCTTTGTCCTTCGTCTTCTCCGTTTGTGGAGTATGTGTTGAAGGCGGAACGTCCTCAATCCCCATCGCTGGAACTGAGTGCAGAGTTTAGAAATGAAGTGATCCACGCTCACCGCACCAATTGTGCGTACCGGATTCCGCACTAGATGAAAGTGGATCGAGGCCCCGGACTCAGTTGGACTATCCAGGGACTGAGGTTCCTGCCACAAGAAGCACCGTTAGAGCTGCCCGGCCAGGGTTGGCCGGATAAACCCTCGGTGTGGGAATTAGTGATCGGAGAAGAAGTGTAGAGTTGAATCTATCTCTGTGTGTGATTTCTGCTTTGAATAGTTCAGTTACCTTCAATGTGAAGTTCATGTTGTATATATAGTGTTCCTTGCTTGCTTCTCAAGGTGGGTTCATAGAGCTTGGATGCTGCCAGGTGTCCTTTTTGCATTGCTCAAGGTGGGGGACCACTTGGTAGTTATCATTGAATGCATATCACTACTACAAAAATAGTTAAAGATCACACTTTGACAAAAAAAAAGATCTCACTTTTATTGGAAGTGTGATAAAAAAAATTGGATTGATATTTTAATCACACTTAATTTGATTGAGTGTGATAATATTTATTTTGTATGTCACTTTTCAATTAAGTGTGATTATATATATATATTTTTAATCACACCTTCTAAATAAAGTGTGATTATATATACACTACTACTTTTTAATCACACTTTTTAAACAAGTGTGATTATATATATATTTTTTAATCACACATTCTAATTAAAGTGTGATTATTTATATATTTTTTAATCACACCTTCTAATTAAGGTGTGATTATATATACAGTACTACTTTTTAAACAAATGTGATTATATATACATTTTTTAATCACACATTCTAATTAAAATGTGATTATTTATATATTTTTTAATCATACCTTCTAATTAAAGTGTAATTATATATACACTACTACTTTTTAATCACACTTTTTAAATAAGTGTAATTATATATATATATTTTTTAATCATTAATCACACTCCCTAAATAGGTGTGATTGTATAAAATATTTCAATTTGATTTTTATATAAAATATACAATTCCCAAATCCACGCCTCTATTCTACCCATGAATGACAGAGGATGACTCACTACTGGAAAATGAGGCTTTAGACACGGAACTTTTTCTAAAGTGTGATTATTTATATATATTTTTTAATCACACATTCTAATTAAAGTGTGATTATATATACACTATTACTTTTTAATCACACTTTTAAATAAGTGTGATTATTTATATATTTTTTAAGGTAATTAGAATGTGATTATATATACATTATTACTTTTTAATCACATTTTTTAAATAAGTGTGATTATATATATATATATATATATAATCACAGTTCCTAAATAGGTGTGATTGTATAAAATATTTCAAATTGACTTTTATATAAAATATACAATTCCAAAATTTTTAATCACACTTAATCTGATTGAGTGTGATAATATTTATTTTTTATGTCACTTTCTAATTAAGTGCGATTATATATATATATATATATATAGGGTAAATTACACTGACACCCCCTAAGGTTTATGTTTATTACAGTTCCCCCTTCACGTATTGGAAATTACATCTCCCTCCCTGATGTTTAAAGTTTCATTATAGATTCCCCTCCTAGCAATTTAATTTTTTTTAAATACTAATTTTTCCCTTACTGGGTAAATTACACTAACACCCCTTACATTTTAGAAATTACAATCCCCTCTCTAAGGTTTAAAGTAGCATTAAAAATTGCCCCATCGATTAGTATTAGTTGGAAAAAAATTCATTGAAAAAAAATTCATTGGAAAAAAATTATTGGAAAAAAAATTAATTGAAAAAAAAATTGCTAGTAAAATTTTTAAATTTCTGTTTAAAAACCAACATAAACTTATTTTTCGAATTTACGTTTTTTCCTCAAATTTACAAACTGAGACAACCATTTATAAATCAAATAAATTATCAAATAGATTTTTATGACAATTTTTTTAATTTTTGTAAATATAAATTGAAAACTGAAAACGAAATGGTTACCAAACAGGTTTCAGATGGTAAAAATGTCGTAAAATTAACAAATAATTAAATAAGTTACCAATATAAGAAATGACTGATCACAAGATTCGTAGGCTATATATGGTTTGATTTTTTAAAAAAAAATTAAAAATTAAAAATTAATTTGGTTAAGAAATAAAAAATAAAAAATAATTATCATTTTTATATAATTTTTATCTTTCGAGTGGTTAGAAATAATTTTTTACAAATTAAATTGAAACAACCATACGTATGTATATTACCTGCCCAAAAGTTAAAATTATAATTATTTTTTACCTTAAATGATAATTATTTTTTAGTTTTTATTTCTTAACCAAATTAATTTTTAATTTTTAAATTTTTTTTTCTAAAAATCAAACCATATATGGCCTAAGAATCTTTTGATAAGTCATTTCTTATGTTGGTAACTTATTTAATTATTTGTTAATTTTACAACATTTTTACCATCTAAAGCCTGTTTGCTAAGGTGCCATTTGGTAACACTTACGTTTTCAATTTTCTGTTTATATTTACAAAAAACTCAAATAGAAACTTGTTTGGTAAATTTTTGATTTATAAATCAGTGGTCTCAATTTATAAATTTGGCCAAAAAATTTAAACTAAAAAAATGTGTTTCCATTTTGAGTTTTTAGTTTTTTTTTTCTTTTACCACCCAACACTAGTCACCACCCGTCACCCATTTTTCACTACCGTCTTCCGTCACCACCACCCACCACCACCTGCCACCATTACTCACCACCCACTTGCTACCACCACCCACCTACCAGCCACCAGCCACCTGTCACCCACTCACCACCACCACCCACCCCTCGCCACCACCCACCTGCCACCACTACTCACCACCCACCTCCCCCACCACCCACCTACCACCCACCAGCCACCACCTACCTGCCACCCACTCGCCACCACCACCACCCACCCTTCGCTGCCGCCGCCTCTACCACTACCACCCTCACCCACCACCCACCCGCAGCCACCCACCACCACCAGCCATCTGCCACTCACCCACCACCACCACCACTATCACCCACCTGCCACCTTAAGATGTTATTTACGAAAATAAACTGAATGACAGAAAAATAAAATCAATATCTAAATAACATTCTTGAACTTCAGTTCACACTTCACATACAGACACACACAATCTTCAGCGAAAAGAAGGGGGGGAAATAAGAAGAAGTTCCACATTGGGATATTCAGTCATATATCTTCAGATAAAGTAAACAGAGCATACATTTCTTCTAGAGATAGAGATGACAGATAAGGGAGAAGGCAAAGCCAAGGGCAAGATGGAAGAGGAAAATTCAGACGGAGAGGCCGCCTTCAACTTGAAACCAAAGGGTGAATCGAAGGAAGAACAGAGAGTGTGATCTGTCTGTAAACCCTAGCTCAAATGTGTGTGTGTGTGTGTGTATATATATATATCACAAACAAAAGGCATGTACTCTTACCTTTTGTAGTGCAGATCTTGGAGAAATCTTCGACTTCGATCGGCTGATCTTGAAGAGATGTGGAGGATTGTCTTTCGTCGCCAAGGAAATGAGAAGACGAGAGTGAGAAGAGAAGTGAGCTAGGGCACGACGAAAGAGGGCTTATATAGTGGCATAACTATAATTGTTGAAGTTTTGGAGGAGCAT